TAACAAAACATGTCTGTCATTACTTAGGGTTAGTTGTGCTTCAGTCCTATTGGACTGACCTCTGGATGGAACAGTGCATTGACCATAAAACACTGCATAGTTTCTGACCAGAGTAGACTTATTGTCAAAAACAAAGTATCATAATTAAAGCCACATATAAAATGAGAAAAAACCTTTGCTTTGTCAATCAGAAGAGAACACAAACTGAAAAAGAACACTATTGTTTCCTCAGGGACCTTTGTGCTATTTCTAGTCCATTAGTGGCCGGAAAGTGGAATGTGCAAGAGCTGCCGAGCTACCCATGTATTCGGCTGAAAAAGAGTAGGGGTTAAACACCAGCACATGCAACAGCAGATAAATGGATCTATAGGTGCAGTAGAATGAGATGGCAAATGGCATGTCCTTTCTGAACAGTGGATGTGCAAGGAGCCACGTATCAGTGACAGGTTTGTGCTATGCCTCCCTCTGATGTGTTATTCATTGCACTAGGGGGAGGTGACACATTTAAAATTGAATCCACCAGCTGGTGTGGTTTATAAAGTGGGAGAATTCAGAATTTTGTGTAAGGTGTCTATCAACTCTGAATTCACAGGAGTTTGAGGAATAATCTGTAATCCTGAATAGTTAAAGATTCTGTAACTGTGTTAGTAAACCCCAGTCATCAAGGAAGCTGGTGGTGAAACCTACTTATGGTAGAGCTGCACATGAAGATCAGTGTTTTCAAGGCCCAGAGACGGTTTAGCAGGCCAGAAGCATCCCTTTAGCCCTAGGCATTATCACCACAAGCCAATGAAGCCTTTGATGTGGACAGGAGAGCTTGTAGAAGTGCTTAAAAAAAAAACTTTTTCCATCTACACCATACAGGAAGCTGTTCTTTAGCCACAGCCCCACTTCATAAGTTTGTATAAAGGACAAGGCCCCTGGGCACACAGTCAACTGCCCTAGAATTTGAGAACTGAGAGAGACCATGAAGGTCATCTAGTTCAACCCCCTGCAGGGCAGGAATCTTTTGCCCAACATGAGGCAAATGAAGAGTTTCATGCTCTCCAGACTGAGCTATCCCAGACTGGATTGTGGTAACAGCAAAGTTCTACTTTGTCCCAACAGCTGATAAATGAGCATTTGCATTTGACACGGCCCTTTTCAAGCTTACTCTTGATAACTATGCTACCTGCTGCATTAAGAGGCAATTTGGCCTAAATCAGGCCTGCCTGCATAATTTGTAATCCAGGCAGCAGCTTAGAAAGCCTCAATATTTTTGCTTCTTGCCCAAGACTGAAAAACCAAGGAACCTGTTAAGGTCCCACCCACCTGTCATAGTTTCAAGTGGTGCAAACTTCCCATAAGCACATATTGTGACAGTGGATTCTACTGAGCCAGGTAGTGCCTACCACCATGTAACGGATGTGTGTGTATGAGATTTCTACATGCATCCAGAGAAAACCTTTGTGCATGCAAAGATTCTTCACTCTGGTCTTTAGTCACAGAAACAGTGTCATGTAGACGCCAGAGCTGCTGGCTAACCACTACATTCAGAACCACAATGCCAGTTAATACTTGCCAAAGACAAGTCATGGGTTTATATTCAGCTAGCTGGTGGAGCCAGTCTACTCTTAAAATTGCCATGTGTACACTCAAGCAAGTGAGCAGATACCCTTTAATGCCATCTTGAATTGCGTTCATTATGCTCTTCTACTGTTGCAGCAAAATATATTGTTTTGGCAATGAACCATAGCTTATAGCTAAGGATCTTCACAAAAAATCTTAATTTCTCTGTGCTTTTGAAGTTTAGTACCCAGGATTTAGTAAAAAGACACATGCACCCTAATCCTATTCAAGTTTACTCAACAGCAAGTTCCTCTGAATTCAGTCAGATTTACTCCCCAAGTAAGTGTACAGAGGACTGCAGCCTCACTCTGCACTATGTCCGTAAGAAGCTGAAGGTCTCCCCCTCTCCACACAAATAGCTTCTACAGTAGAGGTGGATCTCAGTAACTACTGCCACATTTGCTATACTAGTCAAAGATAAGTGAGTCACATATCCCACAATTATTTTAAAAGCAATTTCCTCCTCTCAAGGAAGCTGTCTGGGTCGCAAAGTACGATCTAGCATTTGCATGATTCAATACAGAAGAATCCAGTTCAGTTTAGGATTTTAAGCTTTTACAAGAGAACCCTAGGTTTTAAGAAAAGGATAAGCAAGTGAAGTGACTATGAGTTCATCCTATTTCAAGGGAGAAAGAACAAGATTCAAGAGGCATCCCTGGATATCCAACCACTTTCAGTTAAGAAGTTCAAAATCCTTTTCTTTAGTACCTTATCCAGGTAACTAGGAAGGCGACTTTTTGATGGAATGCCCTGCCTTTTTTGGAGATGATCTTTAATGATAATAGTTTTAACAGTCACGTAACGTGCTGGACTCAGATTAATAGAGCTACAAAGCACTTTCTCTCGGTCAGATAACAGTTCAAAGCCAGGTAAGTTTTCAATTGCTGCAAATTCCCCCTCTTTCCCATCTTCTTTCCCCCTCTTTGAAGTACCAATATTTTTATTTTCCTTCCTTTTCTCTCGTTTGTGTCTAGCTGCTTCATATTCTGCAGATTCTTCCATTTTTGTTATACCATTCCGCCGATATCGTTGTAGTTCCCTAATCTTGGTTCGAAGTACTTTCTCTTTGTGTAAGTTTTCAAAGAAATCATCAAACTCCTTGCAAGACATAAACTGATAGAGAGACCTTAATTTTAACCGCAGCTCTTTTTCTTCTTTTGTGATTTTGCGTTTTGAAGGTTTTTCTTTATCTCTTCTGTCTTTGCCTAAGAAAGCAGGGACCAAGTTGTAGTCACGGGCAATGTTCTTTCGTCTCTGTCTCTCCTTCAGTTTTCTTACATACATGTCCACATGAGCTCTTTTTAATTCTATTTCAACATCATCATCATCATAGTTTACTGAAAGGCCACTGATTAGAGTCTCTGCATCTTGGTCATATTCAATCTCATAATCGTCTCGAAGTGGCATATATCCCAGCTGCTGCTGTTCAGCCACAGATATATCTAGAGGTGGCAGAGGCATGGTCAGGCTAGGTGAAAGTGGGCCACCAGTTGGGCAGGTGTGATCAGTCACTCTGTTGGGAATAACATCAGGGATGCAGGCCTTCCCAAGGTTACCATGTATATACATGCTTACATAGTGTTCCATCACTTCCTGAGGCGTTCGTGATGCTCCAACATGAGCAGCCATATCTTCCTAGAATAAAATTAAAATTAAATATATGAAGACCTTTAAAATTATAAGATTATCCCATATACAGTATGTAAGGTAAAGGCAAAGGGACCCCTGACCATTAGGTCCAGTCGTGACCAACTCTGGGGTTGCGGCGCTCATCTTGCTTTATTGGCCGAGGGAGCCGGCATACAGTTTCTGGGTCATGTGGCCAGCATGACTAAGCCGCTTCTGGCGAACCAGAGCAGCGCACGAAAACGCCGTTTACCTTCCCGCTGGAGCGGTACCTATTTATCTACTTGCACTTTGATGTGCTTTCGAACTACTAGATGGGCAGGAGCTGGGACCAAGCAACGGAAGCTCACCCCGTCGGGGGGATTCGAATCACTGACCTTCTGATCGGCAAGTCCTAGGCTCTGTGGTTTAACCCACAGCACCACCCACATCCCTATACTGTATGTACTAAATGTCAATTTCTAGATAAGAGCAGTGGCATTCCTTCATAAAACTAGAGAGTAATATTTCACATTATAATACTTTTAAATAGTGTTAATGAATGCTAGGGCTTGTTCATACCAAGGATTTACCCCAAACAGGAATGCTAGTTTGTTATATGCACACACCAAGATCAAGTAGTCCCTAACTGGAGCTGTTATATCCATGCCTTTTCCCACTAATTCACATCTTGATACATACACATTAAACTGAAGCTCTCTAAAAGAACAGTATTAAATGTATCCAATGGTGGCTTTTTTCTTGGGTTCTCAAACTGCCGCCAGGACCCTCTTGAGATGCCTGAAAATTACTCAGCCCACCAGTCACAACAGAGTGACAGATGAAGTCCTAATCAGCTGATAAGTAATGGCATTTTCTAATGATCTTTAACCCATCTTTTTTAATTCTTGGCCGCAGTTCATTCGGAAAGCATCGCAAAGGGACGCGAATGAGGCCGGGGGGGGGGGCGCCCAGGGAACGCGAGAAGAGCCCCTCCCGCGCCGCGTGGGGCGGGCCGGAGCCCGAGGCGGGAGCGCCCTCTCCCTCACCCAGTTGCCGAAGCCGAACTGCTCGATGGCGTCCAGCAGGAGCTGCTCTTCGCGGCTGCTCCAGCCGCCCTCGGCCTCGGCGCCCCAGAGCGTGAAGCGCCCGCCGTCCACCAGCTGGTAGCCGTGCCAGCGCCGGTGAGGCCCGATCTCCGCGCCCGCCGAGAAGCACTCCGGGCACAGCTCGATGTCGGCGCACTCGGTGCAGCGGAAGCGCAGGGAGCTCACTTCGGCCAGGCAATACACGCAGTACTTCTTGCCCAGCTCCGCCATCTTGGTTCCCCCCGCCCTCAGGAAAACAAAAAGGGGGGAGGGAGACCGGCGCACAGCTGACGTGGAGAGACTGCGCCGGGGAAGAGGCTGGGCAGGCCCCGCCCCCGCCTCGCCACCTCCGCCTATCGGCGCCCGAGGCCGGCGCGGCCAATCGAGCTTCGAGGCTCGGCGTCGCGCTTCCTCTCGCGCCGCCGGTTGAGCGGCTCTCCCCTTCGCCTATCAGCAGCTCCGAGAGGCCCGTGGGCGTGGCCCAGGCTAGCGTGGCCAATCGCGTTTCGCAGCTCTGGTCCGCGTTTCCCCTAGCAACCGCCGTGCCCGCCCACAGAGCGGTTACTGTGGAGACGCGGAGACGCCGCTGCGCGGAGCCGGGGAAGCCATGGAGGAGACGGAGAACATGGAGGCGGCGGGCGGGGACGCGGCTGCCGAAGCCCCGCTTCCCCCGCCGGAGCCCCCGGAGGCGCCCCCTGAACCCGCGGAGGCGCCCCCGGGGAGGCCGAGGTCCCGGGGGAAGCGCCCGCCTCGGGCCCCGAGGAGCCTCCGCCGGCGGACAGGGCCGAGGCCGAGCCGGGGGCTGAGGAGCCGGGCGCGGAGGAGGCGGGGGCGGCGGCGGCGGAGGCTGCGGGCGAAGGAGAGCCGCAGGAGCCGGTCTCCGAAGAGGCCCCCGGCCCGGAGGAAGCGAGCGAGGCCGCGGGGGCGGAGCAGCAGGGCGCGGGCTCCGTGGAAGGCGGGCTGGAGAAGGAGGAGGAGGAGGAGGGCGGCGAGGGGGAGGCGGAGGAAGGGGCCCCGCCTGACGGCGCCCCCGTCCTGGAGATCCAGGAGGCCGTGGAGCCGCGCGAGGCGCCCTCCGTGTCGGTGGCGCTGCCCAGCGAGGTCTCCTTCGCGGCGGGAGAGCTGCTGGAGCCGCCTCCGCTGCAGACGGGCGTGGACCTGGGGCGCCGCATCAGCCTGAGCCTGCGGGACCTGGAGCTGCGGCGCCACAGCGGGCTGTCGCTGGAGGTGGGCAGCAGCGCCGGCAGCTCGGAGGCCGAGGAGGAGGCGGTGGTGGCAGTGGAGACGGAGGAGCAGCGCGAGCAGCGCCTGGCCGAGGAGCAGCTCCGGCGGCAGGAGCTGGCCGAGCAGTACCGGCAGCTGCTGCTGGAGCGGGCGCGCCTGCAGCACTACAACGCCAAGCTGCAGAGCAAGCTGAGCGAGCTGCTGAACAAGGCCAAGAGCAAGGAGCGCGTCCGGCAGGAGCTGGAGCAGCACATCTCCGACAAGGAGCAGCGCTACAGCCGCTACCTGGCCATGCTGGAGGAGCTGCGCACCCAGCAGGCCGACGAGGCCGCCTGGTTCCAGAAGCAGATCGACGACGCCCGCCTCTCCTGCAGCCAGAAGCTGGCCAAGGTCGAGAGCGCCTGGAAGGCCCACCAGGCGCTCAAGATGGAGGTGGCCGTGTACACCGTGGGGCGCCGGCTGGGGAGCAAGCAAGCCGCTATCGACAGAGTGGGCCAGATCCAGGCCAGGGAGCAGAGCAAGGAAAGGGAGATGACCGAGGTGAGACCTGCCCGGAGAAGCCTGCCCAGACAGTCCAGCGATGGATTAGACCTGCTTCTCCCCCTCACCCATCAACGAAAAAACACAAACAAACTCCTCGGCCCCCTCTAACCACCTCACTGGCAGGAGACTGTGGTGCAGCTAGTTAATTCTCCCCTGGAAGTTACGGTCTTATCAGCTTAGGCAGTTTATTATTTCAGGTGTGATGCAGTTAATATTTGCCCTCCCCTTCCATGCTTTACAACTGCTTCTGCATTCCTGTTCCAGTGGAGGAGGGATAAGGCAATATGGTGTCCTCTCAGCAGCCTCAGGCAGCATAACCAACGGTTTGGGCTGATGGGAGTCATAGTCCATCAACATGTGGACAGCACAACATTGGCTACCCATGTTAGAGCAACGATACCAAAACCAAGTTGTAAACCCTGATAGTAATAGTACAGTGGTACCTCGGTTTATGAGCAGCCCTTTAATGAACTATTTGGTTTACAAACTCCGCAAAACCAGAAGTAGTGTTCCGGTTTGCAAACTTTACCTTGGTCTACAAACAGAAGCCGAACGGTAGCAGGGCACCGGCGGCAGGAGGCCTCATTAGGGAAAGCGCGCCTCGGTTTAAGAATGGATTTGGTTTAAGAACGGACTTCATGAAGAGATTAAGTTCGTAAACCGAGGTACCATTGTAGTCAATAATAGGGCCACGGGTAAACAAGGAAAGCCTATGTAGTTATTTCCATCACATGTGCTTAGGCTTATTATAGATAGAAACTTATGGTGATAAAAAAAGTAAGAGGCAACTTCCTGAGCATCTTGTAGTCCGAACTATTTTAAAAGTCAATTTTATTGAGGTTTATTCATAGGTGTTACGGCTGGTAAAGACTGATCCAGAGTTCACATAAGCTCCCGGCAGTTCCTATTCCAACCCCAATCACCTCCCATAATAGTTTCTCACCTGGAAGAGTTTCATCCCAAGTCAACTGTTCCACATACAGTCAATAGGGGAGTTGTGGCTGCTTCTATTCCATTCCTCGAGTTCTTCAAATCTGCTTTGAGTTAAATCCTTTGGGTTGTACTCTAAGTAGCACTAAGTCTACGATTCCATCCCAGCAAGGGTTTTGTCTCTTTTTGTAGGAAATGTATATTTGTGCATGTTGTAATTTCCATTTTTAACATTTTAACTTTCCACCATGCCTCTCCTACCTGCTCTGGGGTTTCCTTAAATTCCCTGGAACAGATTTGGGGGAAATGAGAGCTGTATGTGGAGGAGACAGGGGTGGGGGAAATCGTGTGCTAGAGGTGATCCTTGCATTTGCACAACTGTTTAGTTGAATACCAGCCTTGGGTAGGATATCTGTAGACTCACTTCAGTTTTTATCATGCTAGGTTCGACTGGAAAATATAAAGCTGAAACACAGAATCCAAAAGCTTGATGCAAGTTTAAAAGCCATGGAAGAGTTAGCAGAAGGTCTGCACTTAATAGATTTTGAGCAACTGAAAATAGAGAACCAAACCTACAATGAAAAGATTGAAGAGCGCAATGAGGAGCTTATGAAGCTCCGGAAAAAGATAACCAACACAGTGCAAATTCTTACTCAAGTGAAGGAAAAACTGCAGTTTGTGGAAGCAGAGAATCATGGCCAAAGGTCTCAACTAATGGCAGTTGAGGCTTTAGTGGCCCAAAGGAGAGAGGTTCTAACAAAGACTAAACAGGCTAGGGACAAATTGCGAATGGACAATCAGAGGCTTTACCAGAAGTGCGGCTTACTTGGGAATACACTGCTGTTAAGGGACTTTGAAGATAAGGTAACTGCTGCTGAAATGCTGAATGAAAGGCTGGAGGTACTGAAACGCCATCATGCTGCGATCTCCCTTACTTGCAAAGGGGTAAAGAAGAAAATCAGAGGGGTGACATCTTTTCTACCGCTCTAAACTTTATTTTAATTGTCAAAAAGAGCAAAGTAGAGTGTGCACTATAAAATATTACATTAAATAGCAATTAGTTGTTTGTCCTTAGAATCTTTGTTCCAGATATTGTTCCTATTTCCAGAAGATAACAGTGGTTTAAAACCAAATCAATTTGTCCAACTGGCTTCCAACTGTCAGTTAAAAGTTTTCACCAACTGATAGTTGTGCTTAGTTTAATTACTTTCAAAAAGTAACAACTTGAAACTATCAGTGCCTTGATGTGAACATATTTTCAATCAACTCTTTAGATTCTCCACATCCTCTTTCTGGGCCAACTGCTGCCTTCTGCACAAGCAGCGTGGTGGGTAACAAACCTTTGCGGTGGGTACAGTACCAAAGGGGGGAAAGGCCCACTGGTGGGATTTTGCAAGGGTTCCTTATCTTTGGACACATGGGTGGGCTTGGGATTTTGATGATGTGTTGGTGTGCTACCACAAAATGGCTGTCCTTCAGCAGCAATCCTACACAAATTTGCATAGCAATAAATTCTTTTGTGTGACATTGATTAAGAGGTCAATATTTATTTGTAAGTTGCTGTAGGAGTCTGTCTTGGCTGAAGAATAGGATAAAAACATTGATAATGCTAATAGCAGCAAGTCATCCAGTGCCTGCCTTGGTACACAACAGGTCAAGTGCATGGAAGGGAGAGCCAGATGCTTGGTTAAAAAAAACTTTTTAAAAAGTCTTTAGAAAAATCTATCTTGGTGTGGGTAGAGAGCTTCATGGATGCTAGGCCTATTGCTCAGGTGTGTAAGGTTTCTGAGGGTTGTGTGTGTTGTGCCTGAAAGATGTTGAGCGATTACACTCAGAATGCAGAAGGTTCTTAGTGACCAAGTAAATCAGTGTTTCCCAATTGGGGGCCACATGGTCCCATGGTGCCCCCCAGGATATTCCAAGGGCCCCCAAGGTATAACCACATAAAGGGGGGGGACAGAACAAGGCTAGGGGGCTACAGAGGAAAATGAGAAGTGAAGGGGGAATCATCTTTTTAAATTTTTTATGTAATCCCCCCCCCAATTTCTACAATTTACAAAAAACAACCCCCATCCCCATTCACAAAAACTTTTCAAAACCTTATCTTTGAGGTTCTTTAGACCTCATGACTTCCCTCCATTCCCTCTTATGGTTCCTCCTTCTGCATTTCCATACACATACTTCATCAATTCTTCTTGTAGTGTTATCCAACTTTTTGCTGATCGTAAGTGTGCTGTATAAGCCTGCCAATGTATCAATTTATTTACATTATTTTACACATATACAATAAGTGTTTCCCATTCTTTTTCCTTAACTTTGGCATATTTAAATTTCACTGGAAGGAGGCTATCAGTTAAATCAGATTTAAAATCCTGCTCACCTTCCTCAGAGTCTCCTTTTAAGTCTTGGAGGCTGTAATTTCTGCCTCATTTCAGCCACCAAGGCATTCCCAAATATTTCCTGCCTACCACCCCATGCCCCATGGCAGCCATTTTGTGAGTGGTGCCCAGAGCGCTCTCAAAATTTAACATGTGTCCACTGGTCTAAAATGTTTGGTGACCTCTGGGTCCACAGTGCGGCAATCATTCTTCCTCCTGGTACTCTTGTTCTTCCTCCTGATCATCTTCTTTGTTGATCATCTTACAACTTTCAGGTAGCTCCTTTAAATTTGATGCAGTGTGCCACTTTTTTGGATCATCAGTTTAAAGGGGTGTAAATGATTTATTTTTCCGCCAGTTTGATGGCCACTAGTTTCAGTTCTTGATGATGCTTCAGGGTTTCAGGTGACAGGTTTTGCAAAACAAGCACTGGTTGAACATTGGTCATTTCATGTATGCTTCACAGGTGCCACATTATATCCCCTTTCGACACGTAACATGCAAAATTGATCACTACGTCTTGAGCAAGTGTTTTATCTTGTGACTCGGGAACAACCCTGTGCACATGCTATGTCAAAAATCCCACTACCATTTCAAGGCTTTAATCTAATACTGTCCCAGTCTGTAGCATAAATAGCAATTGTAGCAATATATTTTCTATTTTAGTGTTTCAAGTAACTATTTGCTACTTAAAAGGAGTTTGGAGAGCTTGGATTTGATACCCCGCTTGATCACTACCCGAAGGAGTCTCCAAGCGGCTAACATTCTCCTTTCCCTTCCTCCCCCACAACCAACATTCTGTGAGGTGAGTGGGGCTGAGAGACTTCAGAGAAGTGTGACTGGCCCAAGGTCACCCAGCAGCTGCAGGTGGAGGAGCGGAGACGCGAACCCGGTTCCCCAGATTACAAATCTACCGCTCTTAACCACTATACCACACTGGCCCTTAAAAGTAGGGATAGACAATATATGATCCAAAACTGGTTTGAAGTCCATATTGTGATATCCTTTTCATAATTTTTGACCTGGCAATATATTGTGAATCATGGTATGTGGGTGGATGCACACGCATGCAAATCACCATGTAGCAAAAACTGTAAAACCAGCCAATGCCTCTACCTTATGCTCCATCCTTATTTCAGATATTGTGATATACTTTTAATATAGCTTAGTGATATACTGTAATGTTGAAAACCAGATAGAGGCCACCCCTACTCAAAAGGTTTCAGAAATTTTTGTCCCATTTGGCTGTTGACTTCTTGGTAAGCTGTTAGAATTCCTTAGTAAATTCTTGTACAGTGGTACCTCGGGTTACAGACGCTTCAGGTTACAGACGCCGCTAACCCAGAAATATTGCTTCAGGTTAAGAACTTTGCTTCAGGATGAGATCAGAAATTGTGCTCTGGTGGTGCTTCAGGTTAAGAACAGTTTCTGGTTAAGAACAGACCTCCGGAACGAATTAAGTTCTTAACCTGAGGTACCACTGTATACTTAAAGGTCTTGTTCCTCTGTTGGCCTGGGCATTTTGGGAAGAGAAGCAGGCACCATTTTTGAGTGCTGTATTCAGCTCTGTGTCTAGGTTATCCTAAGACAGGGGCCAGTGACCTTTTTCAGCCGTGAGCCAGTCCACTGTGCCTCAGACCTTGCGGGGGGCCGGACAATATGAACCAATTCCTATGCCCCACAAATAACGCAGAGATGCATTTTAAATAAAAGCACAAATTCTACTCATGTAAAAACACGCTGATTCCTGGACCGTCCGTGGGCCAGATTTAGAAGGCAATTGGGCCGCATCCAGCCCCTGGGCCTTAGGTTGTCTCCCCTGTCCGAAGACTTTGTTTCAATATAGGCTGTTAAGAGTTCTCTCTTTGGGTGGGAGGGTCATGCCTGCATCCTTTGTCTCACCTTCAAGAAGCTCTCAACCTATGTAACCTTGCTTCTCATAGCGAGTGGGAATTTTGTACATTGATTATAACAACAGACAAACCAACAAAGCAGTCCTTTTATCTTTTTATTTGGTGTTAAGTAACTCCACAAAAAACAAATTCAGTTACTCTGGTGTATGTGAAATCAGAACAATACAACCACTTGAAGCAAAAAAGTAGAAACAAATTCAGCCCAGGAATGAAAAAACTGATCCTTCAGTGCTATGGATATGCAATGCGCCTCAGACCACAGTGCATTTCAGCATCTCCACTTTTAAATTATCCTTGCAAAAAAACAAAACACAAACTCACACGTCAACCTCCTCCCTGGAAAGCTTCAGAATTTTCTCCATTCAATTATGGAACAAATAAATATTATTTGTTATTGCCCACACATGAAACATGTACATTTTCAAAGGTGTTAAAATATTAAATCATAATGTAACCAACAACCCTTTCACTGAGATCTACCTAAATAAGCTGAGTTTTAAAAAGTGTGGGTTCTTCTCGCCCACTGCAATATTTCCATTTGGTCATTTCTTATTGTAATAATGACTTACTAGTTTAGTTAATCATTATGATTTATCAGTCTCGCTCTTTTTGCTTTCATGTTGACAGACAATATTCTCAGTGCATGTGCTATACAACTTTTTTTAAGGAAGCTCCAGAAGAAAGTAAATATATAAAAACTTATCCCGAATCTCAAATAAGAAAAAAACCCAAACACTCTAAAGATTTGTTGTATGAATGCTAAAATAATGTAGCTTAAAAGCAGTTATTAATAACATTTCCCTGGAAAGTACAAACCAAGCCAATGGAGTAAGTTTCAACAGAAAGGATACATGCAATCTTACAAGGTGTTGATACCCTAGATCTTAAGTCATGTACTATCAATTAAGAAAAGGCAACAAAACTCAATTTTAGTTCAGCTCACTAGCACAGAATAAAAATTTCAAAGCCAGTTCAGCTTAATATTTGAAACAACTATAATTGTTAGGAGTTTCTTGCCTATCAAAATTAATGGCTTAGCATTTTCAAGTCAATAGTAAACTTTCTGCACTTTCTGATGTCTTAAACATGCTGCTATTGTATAGATCTTTTTTTAAAAACTATGAAATGGTACAAACCAATATTGCTCCTCCTGGCTCTTATGATTTGCATAATACGTTAGTAGCACAAGGAGTTGATAGTCTTGCACAGTTACAACTTGACAGATGCATTGACTATGTTAAAATAAACTTTAAGAGCAGGTCACATAAAGCAACAATCACTACTGCAATCACACATGTAAGTCGTCATCACGTTCCCCACTCCCACCCACAACACACAACTTACTCCTAACATTCTCTCAGGACACAAAGATCGCTACAAGATTTACTAAATTAGAACCACAATAGTAGCCAACTGCAGGAGCCACAGGATTTGTTTTGAGTGACACACTAATCCTTCGCCTATAAATTACCAAACACTGAATTCCAAGATTATTTTAGTTATTCAAGCAAAATCTTTGCAGCTTGTGAAAAAGCTCATCGTCCATTAAATTTATCCATTGGGTTTAACAGTGCAACCCAAACTACACTTACACCTAAGTACCATTGAAGTAAGTGTGCTTGGGAATCAAGACATAGGGTCATTTTGTTTTTAATCATCTACTTTACAGTACTGAGCCCTGAAAGAGATGAACAGAGAAGAAATGAGGGGGAAGGAAGAAGAGGGGAAAAAATAGTGTTTCTTTCCCAGGCCTGAAAAAATCCTTGGCTTCTTCAGTTAGCAAGAACAAACAATAGTTTCAACTGTGTTAGTTTATATGCGAGTTAAGAGGAGAGATCCTAGAATAGAAAACACAGTTTCTGAAAGTCTCTAAAGCACAGCCCTAGTTTTCCTACTCCAAAGTTAGAAGATCTTAAAGACTGGACAAGCCACACATGTTGTCCTCTCACATTCAGAAAGGCACTGATAGATTACAGTGTTAAGTATTTATCTCCCAAATCTTAAAAGCCAAAAGATAAAATATCTGAATAGCTGTGGACACTGCAATGCTAGTTAGATAGTAATACTGATAAGGCTACAGTTAAAAATAAAAATAACTGCAGCTAAGATGCAAAAGAGCAGTGATACTACCATGACAAATCACATGCACATCCATTCTTGATTTGACAACACAATCTAATCTAGGTCCAAATGGCTAAGGAACTAACAGTTTGGAGGGAGAGAAAAAAAGCCTTCAATGG